GTTGGCTAACCAAACATCACAAAGACTTCGTTCTATGTCTGCTTCTATGAGTTTTATAATTTTAGCTCTTACATTTAGTTTTATGATTCACTTTGAGTTAACTTTTGTTTACTGTGTGATTTGGGGCTCACATCCTCTCTCCTGCTTGTGCCTAACCAGTTGTCTTAATATAGAGTTGCTTAATGAATGAGAAGTTTGATATGACTTGTCCTCAAAGATCAACAGCCATCTAGGTTTTTCCTACAGTTCTTATATGCTAAAGGAAAATAATGAATCTATTAAACTGACACAGGACACAACAAATTTGCTTTTACCTAACATATTTCTAAGATTTTTAGAATGGAGAAGAAAGTACATTAGCACTGTTGACAAAGTGTGATGGCATTTCAGCCACTTTATGCTCAGCTAATAATCCTGCTAGTAACCAAGTGGTGGATATGAGGGTTAGAGTGTTCCTAGCACCTGCAAAATAGAGAAGAAGAATGTCTCACTTGTGGGGAAGAGTAGATTTCAGCTGAAGAGAGAAGACCAGATAAGAATTAAGAGTCCCCAGAACCCAAATGACTATTGTACAGAAGGCTACAAGGCTTGTTTTCATCTTTTAAATGCTTCTATCCTCAAATTTCGATTAAATATATTGGGGTTCTGCCTATCTTTAAAAATCATCTCTAGTTTCATAATGGACATAATGAGTACCCAGTTTATGTGACTACCTCTCTTGAACCCTTCCCAGACTCTTCCAGATACCTCTGTCCTCAGAATTCTAGCTTCCCTAGCATTCCCAAATCCTCAACTCTATGTTATCAACTCAGGGAGACCATCAGCCTCTGCGTTGTGACTTGGAAACTTTCTCTAGTCAATAAGCTGAGGAAATTGTGGGTTTGCCTTATTGATTTCCCTTTGCTCAGAAATCACTGTCATGCATTGTCTGTTGTTCAACATATGACCATTGTTTCATATATTTTTCTGGTATCTTAGAACTGTAAATACAGTACTGATTACTACATCATGACCAGTTGTGGATGTCCCAAGTCACAAATTTTGATATGTCATTTTTTTAATTTCATTTTATTATTAGTTTCAAGTATACAGTACACTGTCATTTTTTTAAATTTTCATTTGATTTAAAATATTTTCTATCTTGTGATTTCTTTTTTGACATATAGACTATTTGAAAGTGTATAGATAATGTTTTACAGAGAGGAGTGTTGAAATTCAACTACTTTGTTTATCTCTCCTTTCAATTATATAAAATTTTGCCTTATATATTTTGAAGCTCTGTTATTTGGTGCATTCAAATATATGAAACAATAGTCACATGAATCTTCTTGATGAAGTGACTTGTTTATCATGATTCAATGTCTCTCTTTATCACTTGTAATATTCCTCGCTCTAAAACATACTTTGTCTGGTATTAATGTAGACACTTCAGATCTTGTTAATGTTTTCATAGTATATATTTTTCCATCCACTTACTTTTAAGCTGAGTATTTGTATTTATAGCAGGTTTCTTGTATATAGCATATTGTTGGATCTTACTTTTTTTTATCTAGTCTGAACATTTCTACCTTTTAATTGGAATGCTTATACCATTTACATTTCATGTAAATACTGATATAGTTGTATTTACATTTACTATCTCACTATTTACCATTTTCCTCATCTGTTTTCTGTTCATCTCTTCCATTTTCTTTGCACTATTTTGGGATTAACTGAGTAGGATTTTATGATTCCTTTTCTTTTCCACCATTAGTTTATTTTTTATGTTTTTTTCAGTCGTTGTCCTAGAGCTTATACAATATACATCCTTAACACATTTTACATTAATTTACATCTCTATATATGGTATAAGAACCTTATATTATTGAATTAATGAATCAATGTATTAATACATTCATTATGAATTAATAAATGGAATTTAATTGACTTTATGGTATTCGCTTTCTAGTCAATGCTAGAAAAAAAATGCATCCCTATAAGGAAGGATCCTTTTTGGAGGGTTCTAGAGAAAGGGAAAGCAAAGGCCATGAAAAGGAAAAACCCTGACGAATGCTTATTCTTCTGGATGTTCTCATCTCCCCACTGGCCTCACCAAACTTGGATACGGCACACACTTCTGAGAACAATTTCTTCAAATCTTTCTCACAGTTTCACTGCTGCACAGACTTAAAACCATCTTTATGAGGTGAGTGGACAGAAATACAAGAAAATTATTTATTGTGAGGCACAGCCATCTGGCTCGTGTTTAAAGAAATTCAGTTTTTTTCTCTTATGAAAAGGGAGCTCTAAGAAGAGCTTATTTTCTCTCTTTCTCCCCACCTCCACCCCACCCCCACCCCACCTCTCTCTCTGACTTCTTTCCTTGGGAGGATAAGGAAGGGATGAGGAGGGACACAAGGAAAAGGGAAGACGCTCACTATGTCAGGGTTACGCCTTCTCTCTGAAGGCTCTTTGCCTCACGTCACTGTCAAACTTCCCCGTTTCTCACTCCTGCTCCTACCCCAGAACTCATCACCTTCTTCCATTTCCTCCCCCTGTACTCCCCAGCCTCCTAGCCACAGCCTGCCATGTGGGAGAGATATTTGATATCCTTCACCTAGACTGACTATACTGAGCAAAAGTAAACCCTAAATCCAAGAAAGTTGGGACAAAAGGAACCAACATAGCTTAGTACATACTTTAACCTTCTCCAATAATATGTTTTATTCATCCAAATACCAATCTATAGTTGGTGGGAAGAAATGAGAAACAATACAAATAATATAGAACCTTTTAAGATCACAGCTCACTGGACTTATAGAGAGAATGAGAAAATCTCTTTCTTAGATATTAAATGCACTTAATGGCTTTTAAATTGTCCAAGCACCCACATTACAATCTGGCACTATGCCTCTTCTTTTATCATGGGATAGTGTAGATGCTATAAAACCATCAACAGCCTTCTCTAGAAGGTTTTGCTTTACATTTATTGTTACCCTATTCATTTACCATGCCTGGACCTCAGCCCACAGCCTATTAGAGAATTAAAAGGCCAGGCAAGAAAGAAAACGACTCTTCATGAGTACATTCCTTCATGTGCCAAGAGCTTTTTCCCTTGCTTCTTGGTGAGACAGCCATGAAGTTACCACAAAAAGTCAGGACAGCTATTGCGAAATTACAGGGCAATAAAAACCCTAGGTTTATTTATTTGTTCCTGAAAGGGTTTTAACCACCTAAATCACTGTTTAATTGCAAATTTCTCATTAGAGGTCTCTTCTTCTTCAGAATATAGCAGAGCCAATGTTGCTCCTTATGAAGATAAGTGTTGGGGATAAGGGGAATTTGTGACTTGAAACCTTTTCCAGACTGAACACATATGTCATCTTTACTACACCAAGATCTCTACTACACCTTCATTTGATAAAATAGATTCATGATAAGAGCATCAGTTTGATCCTCCCCACAGAGTGAGGGAAACAGGTTTCACACAATGGGCATGACAGGCGGTGGATATCTGAATCGTGGCACAGCTCTCAAGCTCTGGCTATTTCTCTCCTGTATGAGTTCTTCAGAAACCTAAATGCCAGCCCCTAAAGGAGAAGAATCATGTCTAAGTAAATAACATCCTCCTATCTCTTACCATTTTTCATATCACAGATACTCAATAAATGATTATTGAGTGAATAAGTGTGTTCACGCTTTAAAATTCTCATCCATCTGCACAGGCTCTGCTGGGTCTCTCTTATGAAAGCCTGCTGTGCCATAAAAAAGAAAAAAAGACTTCTGATCCTTAAAAGTAGATGATAAGATGGCTGCTCTGACCAGCTATGTGAACTTGGGAGGCATTGTAACATCGTGGGTCTCAGTGTCTCCATCAATAGTATGACAGGGTGGACTAGCTGATGTCTAAAGTGTGTTTCCAATCTTTCATTCTGAAAAACAAACAAAACACTCCAACATCTCTTACAAGGTCAGC